ATAGAGTCAGACACTTAGCTACATCCGCACGCAAAAGGAATGTGGTTCTAGTTGAGGCTACTGACATTTGCTATGCCGTCAATCAAGTTTGTCAGTTCATGCACGCTCTCACCACCGTACATCTCCAGGCTGTAGCATCTTACGGTATCTGAAGGGTTCTCTTGGCCTTGGCCTAACCATCACTCCGGGACCGTTAACCACCTTCTTTGCATTCTCCGATGCCGACTGGGCTGGCTGCCCCGATAGCAGACGGTCCACTACTGGCTTCTGCGTATTTCTCGGAAAAACCTACTGACTTGGGTTTCAAAAAAGTAACCGACTCTTTCCAGGTCTAGTGCCGAAGCAGAGTACAAGGCACTCGCCCTTACTACCTCTGAACTGTTATGGCTTTCTTACTTGCTACGCGATCTAGCGGTGCCATTTCGCTATCAATTTCTCCTGCACTCTTATAATGCTAGCGCTACACACTTGGCGGCCAATCCTGTGTTCCATGCCCGCTCTAAGCACATAGAAGTTGACTACCACTTCGTTCGCCCTTCCCTGTCTCACTGAGCCGCCTAACCCAAGTAGCTGTCGGCCGTTCTGTTCTATCATTCCATGCATGGAATGTTCCTTCCCTCCTAGCTCACCACCCGGGTGAGGAAGGAGAGTCCCACCTCTTTGAAGTGGGAATTCTTCCTTGGAAAGGCGTGGAAATCCACCAGAGCTTGCTCATCGAAGATACCTCATAGAAAACGTGTTTATGGTATGAAAATAAGACAGTAGAATGCTAAATCTTGATAACAACATTATAATATAGGAAATAATGAGCTATAAATTAATTTTTGGAATCACTTGATTTGGTGTTGTTTAGGCCAAGATATGTTAAGTTTAATCTTTGACCATGATCAGTGCACTCACTGTGACCAGTAAGGAAATACGTCTGTTTTTATTTATGCTATACTTCGAATATGGATCTGAAACTTTTAGGGTAGTAACTAGACATCCTAAGCTTTCCAACGAGATATCATATGCCTCAAAATGATTTTTGTACAATTAGTTATGAATTTCTGAACTTAGTACTCTGAAGCAGTGGGTTCATAGTGCAATCCGAGACTAAAGGCTCCAACTTTAGGAGATAGAAAACTTATTTCGCAAAATTGTTATAATGGGTAATAATATGATATGTTATCAGCATAATATCCAAATTTGAAGCCATTTGGACTTAAGATGAGACCGAAATACTAATTTTACTTTTAATGATCAAATCGAAATGATGAGTGTATAATGTGAACTTAGAAATTAAAATAGTGACCATCCACTATCTTGACCTTATGAAATAATTTAGGCTCTGTATGAAGAGCTAGACACAAAAAATATTAATAATAATAATAAGTGTGGAGAAAAACTCTAGGAGCAAGGCTAGGAAGCAAGAGAAGGGTAAAATTGCCTTTTTGACAATTATTGAGGGTAAAATAGTCTCTTGGACTTGGAGATGTATTTTCAAACCTAGGACCAGATTATGGACTTAGTTTAAGGTTTAGATGGGAGCTCAAAAGTTTGTGCTAAATTGGATGTGAGTTGGGCCTAAGACGGGCCCCATTACCTATGGTTACCCACTAGGTTACCTATGGTTAGCCACTAGGTTACCAATGAAAGACGAAGCACAATTTAGAATTTAGTAAACTCACAATCCCTTATGAGCCCTTCAAGCCCAACAAACGTAAGTTCACATTTTCTTCATAGACCAATAAAGTTAGGAGTTAATGTCATTAGGTCGACTAATTAAACAGGTTAATTCACTCCGATGATTAAATTAGATAATGATCTAGTCATACAGTTATGTGGATTTTTTAATTAGTGATTGTCACGTGATTAATAAACTCTCAATAACTCAATTAGGTAATTAATTAATTAGTAGCAATTCTTAAATTAATTAAGAATTAATTAATGGTCTAATTAATAAATAATTAGAGTTTAATTATTAAATAAGTTTATATTAATTAATAATTAATGTTAAGTTAATAATTAATTAAAGAAGGAAGGGTAATTAATTAAGCATAAATTATTTATCGACTTAATTTGTTTAAGCTTATTAATTAATTAATTATTAATCATTGAAACGAAACTAAATTAATAATTAATTAATTATTAATTACAAATAAATAAATCAAATATATATTACTAATTAATTAAAATTAAATTATTAATTAATAATTAAATTCTCGGTTAATCGTTTAATCTAAGGAGATTACTCGATAACGATCAACACTAGTTACGACAATTAGAGTATAACTTAATTACTATGAATTCTCATAAGATATTATAAAGAATTAGGCCTTGTAACAAGGTATCGACAATAGGACCCTTGTTGACTAATGAGTGTTGTCATCATGGAGTGTTCTAAAAGAAGATAAGAAAGCGGGAATTGCTAAATGAGGTTGTGCTTGATCAGGTAAGTACGAACCTCACCTATAGCATGGAACCTGTTTTAAAAAAATTGGTGTCACATGATTGTGAAATGTTTGATGTTGTTGAATGATTGTTGATTGATGTCCCATTGCATTTATCAATACATTATTTAAGATGTCATGATAAAAATTTATTGATATGTTATTGCTTCTACAAGTTAAATGTTATGTTTTGAATATGAGCCATGATCATAATCGAATGCTCACCTAATAAGAGGCTATAGTAAAGAAAAGAGCATTTAAGTGTCGTACCAACCCTCACTATGTAGGAAAATGATGAATGATCTACATGATGACCTTGGGTGTTGTCGGTATAATATATTTGGGTCGCTCCCCTAACACCCCCTTAGTCGTGCGCACCCGCTACGTACACAGGGCCCATAAAAAGAAATCAATAAACGAACTACTCATAATTGGTCATGCATAGCATTTGTCATATAACTATTTTATGAGATTGAGTTTGTACTTGTTGAGCGAAAGTTCACCCATGTTTGTTCGTGCTGTAGGTAATTCAGGCAAGAAGCCCCCCACTTAAACCCTCATGATGGGCTGGCAGGGTGGAGCATGAGCGATGGGGTCAACAAGGGGATCATGGATACTACTAGTAATTAATTCCGCATTTAAGTTCCGTTATATTTTAAACCTTATAAGACTGCTATTCTAGTATGTTAGGCTTCCATGATTTAAATACTTGCATTATAAGATAAGTCTTCCTATGCTAAACACTTAGACATGTGGTTATGATTTTTCGTTTTCAATTTTACATTTTACTAGTAGGACATAATATGTTTTTGTTATCCATTAGAGTAACAACTAATCCATGTTATTATCAACATTACATATTTTGTGATTGTCTTCGTTAACGCTTGGTATACCTTTTAAAACTAATTAAACACTTATGATCTTGAATCTTAAGCATATACCATAACATTATGTTCTCCTGCACGAAGTGTGCGTGATTGAGTCTTTGGTTAAAAATCTTTAATCTAGTTTTCGCTTAAATTGGCTAAAGTTTTTCATATGTGTATCTATTATTATTATTTAACTCCTATGTCTCGTCAAAAATATGTTACATTTCAAAAAAAAAATATATATATATATATATTCAAAATTTTACAAGTCCGTGAAGTTTTATATGAGTAATTTGGAGTTTTCAAATGTTTAACTGAGTAATTAACGGTCTGAAAAGTCAGGTTATTACACATCAAGTCATTTAGTGACACACCACCCAATCGATCAACCATTGATTTAGCATGGTAAATGGTTAATGAATCTTAATTTCACTAAAAAAAATAGCTTAGCAAAAGGCTATTTTTGTACTTATCCATTAATTGAGTTTGAATCGATGAGCACAAATACTGATTGTAGTCCCTTGAAATGAATCTAGGTCTCGTTTATTTCGCTGATTCGAGTTTAGAATTCGAGTTTTACTACAGTAAAAAATTCTCATCTAAAATCACATCTCAACTCAAATTAAAAACTCGAATAAACAAACTAAACAGGTCTTAATATGTACAATCTCTCTAATTATAGCATGAGATATAATAGACTCCAATATCCGTCTCCGCAATATCCATCTCCGTAGTTTTCAAATAAAGTTCAAATCTCATGCAACTGGATTAACTCATAATTTGTTATACGATTAGAAGTAATAGAAACAGATTAAGAGACATATAAGAAACAAATCACGTCTTAGTATTAATATTGTTTTAGTCAAGAAAATATTTCCAATGACTTCGAATCTACCGGAAGCTCTTTTGTTATTGATATTTTCTCATCTTATATAAACTGTGGATTTAATAAGTTTTAGAATAAACTTTTATAATTTACATCAATTTCCAGCGCTATGTATTTCGGTCGACATTATTTTTTGTAAATCTAAATATGGTTATTTTTATGAATGACTATATTTTTATCCTTGGTAGTAATTAAAATACAGAAATTCTGGTGGAAATATGGGTGGAAAGTAGATTATTGAAACCTTAGATTTGACACACATAATGGAGAAGCAAGCCAATATATATGCTTAAACAAAACTACACGACCTACTTGGCTTGAGCCGTTACCGTTACCGTTAGAAGCTCTTTTCAGCCCACCACCACCCAATCTATTCTTCCTTGCCTGCCGTGCCCACCCAACAAGTCCCTCTTGTACGTAATCTTCAAAAATAGCTTTCTTGAACGAACTTCCCATCTTCATCATCACGTAAATCATTTTCAATTATCATTAATCAATGTCAGTAATAAAACGTCAAATTAAGAATTAGCAGAATAAACAACAATATTTGGGCAACACAACTAACCTGTGTGACAATAGCATAAAGTGGCAATGTACTGTAACTACACAGGAACTGAACAAAACCCCTGAAAATTAAACATTACTTCTTCTTTATTAATAATTGAGCCAAAATGATATATAGGTTATAAGAAAAATTAAACATTAATAATGTTCTTCTTCTTTTTTTTCTCCCTCCCTCTCTTAATATATATATATTACCCAATAACAAGTCTGGGAATTATATAGCCGATTTGCCCCATTATGCAAGAGTCGAATCCATATTGAACCTGGCAGTGAACATGCACACGTACTTGAATATAATAATCTATAATATATAATTTACACAGAAAATAATATAATATATAATTTTTCGTATATTAAATATAAATATATGTATTTAATAAAAGTACATTACGCACCCATATCCAGAAAAAGAAAGCGAGTTCAAAGGAATTTTGGAAGAGGATGATGTGAATGAGTAAGAGAACAAGTCGAGGTCTGTGGAACCAAAAGTGATCATCGGAGGGTCGAACCACCAAATCGCCTTCAATTGCAACGTGTTTCTCAGCAACCTCATGCGCCAATTGCGTAATTACATGCTCCAACTTTGTCCCGACAGCAAGCAGAAGCTGAAGAAATATTATTTATTATTGTTACTCCTATTATTATTATTATTGCATGATTTAAATTAATTGGTAATTAATTGTCTAAACATCAATTTTGTCAACATCCATCTCAAAATAATACATATATTTATATATGTAATGCTTACAATGAAGGGTATGAATGCTAACCAAAAATATGCATGCCAACCTGTACGTACAAAGTAAGTATATGAGCTTGGAGTGCTAACAGAGAAGGCAGAAATATCTTGATTAATATTTCCACAAGTTAATTATAATATTCCGCTTGCTTAAGCCCTCGTTCAATTCGTCAATTTGAATTTTCAATTCAAGTTGAGATATGACTTTATATGAAAATTTTTAACTGTATCAGAAAAAGTTATATGTTACTTTTTCTGATAACTTTTAGCTATAGTAAAACTTAAATTAAAAACTCGAATCAGTGAAATAAACTAGGCCTAAGTCTCTCTTGGTTATTGCGTGTTCAAAGCTAAAATTTATCAATTTGCCAAAAGTTTAAGCTTTTAATTGTAAGGAATTTTCAGAAAATTAATTTAAAATGACATGAAATTGATAAAGATTAGAAAAGCTTACCGGACACATTCAGACACAAGAAGATAACCACAAACAACCACAGATACCAACTGCAATTTTATCATTCGAAAAAGTTGGTTATAGTTGTAAATTATTTGTCAAGGAGGGAAGATAAAATTGGTAAATAGAATGATTGGTACAAGTACGTGATAACAGACATGATACAAGAATTATACAGACGGACGGAGTTGTCCTTTTAATTACCTAACCAACCAAAAAAAAAAAAATGAAATGTTCATTTGTAGAAATCGCAACTAACCTTATTCCGACGACTTTCCTAAAATCTGCTTCAAGGGCTCGAATCATGTATTTGTAAAAATTAAATTTTGGGTTTCCCCTGCAATGAGTCTACGAAAGAATTTTTTTAGAATGCATGATGTGAGAAAGAAGATTCTTATACATATACTATATGTACCAAACCAAAACGGAAAATAAGTAGTGCCACAGAGTTTGTACCATGATAAAGCCCAGTCTCAGTGTCATATAATCTGTTTTCGTCACAGATCCATAAAATTGCTTAAAAAATGAACGCTGAAAAAAAAAAAAGCAATCCAATTTGCAAAGAAATAATTAGTTAAACCAATTATCATTAATTTCTTAATGTCGAAGCAGCAATATGTGTATATAGCAAGCGAATCATCATATATAGAAAAGAATATAATGACTTACCAGCCAACTTAGAAAAACTAAATTCTTTCCAATACCCAGAAAGCGATTCCTAATAAAATCATGGTCATGGACATGGGTGAACTGTGTTTTTATAACTGCATGCATTAATTAATTTGTCTGAAATTAACAATCGCATTAGCAGGGGGCCAAAGGCTACTATATAGCTAGCTCACAACAATACAAGTCATTACTGTTACCTTCTTCTGGATTGTACTCCTGTTTCGAAATAGAATCCTCCCAATGTTTCCATTGACGTATCTAATCAAGCAATTAGAAGAGATGATCAATCATAAATGAAACCTTAAAACTCAAGGAAACTCCAGTATGAAGATGCAATATATATATATCGTAATATAATTACCTTGATCCCACCAAAAATAATGGTTAAAGCGCAGAAAGTGACATGCACCACGGCTAGCACGAAGATGAAGATATGAAGATGATGTAATGCCGTGGTCGATAACAATGGAACCTTCCCCTAATAAACAAATTAATATGAATTGAAGAAAATGGTTATGTAGTAATATATTTATGACCCTATGTATGTATGTAGTGGTTGGTGTAGTGGCCAAATGAAATTAATTTCACAAGTAGTAACTGTAGTAGTAGTAGTATATAATATTGAACAAGTACCTTTTGGGAACAGTAGTCAGAGGAATCGGCCGCAAGGAGACGACGAGATATTATATGATCTACTACGAAACTACTAGCACTAGCGATCGTAGTAGTCCTGGTCTGAAAGTGTTTAGTGGTAGAATATGATGATGATGATGATGATTCATGATCATCATCATCATATTCATCTGATCTGTTGTTGCAAGGCAACCAGTGCTTAGACTGCTGCTCGGTGATGCAGATTTTGGCGATGCGTTGTTGGAACACCGTCAATAGCAGCGATATGAATCCCAATAGCATCAACTCTGTCATCCATATATACATATACAATAATAATAATAATAATAATAAGGATCTTAATTAATTTATATATGTAGCTATGTAATTACCTTCTTTAATCTTTTGCAAGGCCTCGAAAAGAGGCTTCTTATTCTTTTTCTTCAGGCACTGCACATGCCCAAAGTAGAAACCAAAAAATAAACATTCAGAAAGAATTGTATATGTGTGTAACAGTAGCAGTGCTAGCTAGTACTAATTAGACTGGTGATGATCGGAAGCAGACATCAATCATACAACATAATTATGAACAAACGAATATAAATATATAAAAAGATAGAGAAATTGGGAGATAGGTAAGAGGACGTTGCCTTTCCGGTGAAGTGAAGGAGCCTCTCGACGAGAAGAGAAATCAAGACAATAACACTGCAAACCACAGCCACCACCCACGTGGGCGTGTACTCCAACGTTGTTTCTCCTTCTCCTCCGGCCATTAATGATTAATGATTAATTCCTCTTTGATTCTCTCTCTCTCTCTCTCTCTCTCTCTCTCTCTCTCTCTCTCTTACTATGAATAGATCTCTAGATCTCTAACATTGCTTGTAAACATCACCAATCTCCCAATTATATACAATTCCTAACAAAACATACACATGACTTGGGATTCCGAGAAAGAACACTTTTTATTAATATAAATATAATGGGCTACTCCTCATGCCCTGTAAAGCTGAATAATATGGTTGTGGCCGTGTCTTTGTCTGATCAGCTGCTGAAATTAATATTTAATCTTCATTAATTTTATAATATTTATATATAATTATATTATATAAGTACACTAAACGTCTTAAGCTACAGCCTTCGCCTAAAGGGAAAGTTCCCGCGTTGACCAACTTTCTCTATATTATCAACAATCAACAATGCTACCGCTGCCACACACCGTATATAGAACAAAGAATTAAACGAGTGATCTCTTTCTTATATCAACTTTCTCTAACGTCGTGAAAAATTAAATAAACACACAACAAAGCGTCCTTGGAATTAGTTTTGGAAGCTTCTGGCCGTCTGAATCTGATTATATATATAAACTCATGCAATCAATTTTTTTAGGAAGGGAAAAAAAATTGGTTATTATTATTTTTTATGAGAACCGGTGTAACTATATGTTACAACCGAGCCTAAGAGGAATAGATACGAATGGATGTATACTAGAGGAGTTTGAAACGTTTTCAGTTGGGGAAAAGAGGTGAGTGCATGAGAAGGTTGCTGAGCTGGCCTAGACGGTTAGACTTCTAGGGAATAATGCCTGGAGAGTAGGGACGTTAGAAAGGAGTGAGAAGAGGAGGTAGTCGTTTATCATCATTTTTAGAATAATTCTTACTATTGTATTGGCTGGCCGAGCTGAGCTCGTGGATTTCCAGTGACGATTAATCAAACGGATCTTTGGGTTGAGGTTCCTTCAGTAATTTAGCTGTGGTGTTGGTCTGTGTTGCTTGTGTGTGTGAGTAATTGTGCTGCAGGTACTCAGTGATCTAACAATTTGATATCAGAGCCTACGATCTGGGAGAGGAGAGAATGACAAAGGGTGGAACTCGTGGTGATCGCGTGGAGGAATTAGAGAAGAAGTTGAATGAATTGACCGAGAAACTGACGGGGTTAGATTGATTAGAGGAGTGCCTCAAGGGCTTACCTCAGTTGGTGTCTAATTTCGTCAAGGAGAGTGTTGAGAACTTCAGTCGGGAACTGCCAGATTCCTTGCCCAAGGAACGGGGAAAGGAAGCAGTCGCCACTCCCGCTGCAGGAACGGAGGAGGCCACCATGGGAGCAGGACAAAGCGAGCCGTGGGATCTGACGGCCACCAGTGTTCCTCCTGGCCGACGGCCGCACTATATGGTGCAAACAGATGGACTGCGACCATGAGGGGCAGCACCTGAAGTAGAGCCACCACCGACCTGGGCAGGAGGCCGATATAACCATGAAAGAAGGCGCGGCCCCGAGCGCTGGGAGGGTGGTGGTGATCGACGATGGTTCGGAGAGGAAATTCCGCCGTGGGCTGGAGGCGAGCCCCCCAACCCGTTTCCTCCCCAATAAAGGACTGAAGGGAGTCCACCTCGTGTGGATTTGCCGCCCTTTGACGGCGAGGGGTGGCCGGTCTGGGAGAGACGGGTGGAGTGCTACTTTCGTGTCCACCTGATCCGACCGGATGTTCGCGTGCAGGTGGTGGCTGATTTTCTCATCGGAAGGGCATGGGAATACTATGAGTGGGTCATGGAGGAAGAACCGGGCATGGATTGGGAAGAGCTGAAATCCTCCTTCGGGCAGCGTTTTGGGCCTAGGGAATTCAGGTCCATTCAAGAACAGCTGGTGGGCCTGCGACAGAGGGGCTCCGTGGCAGAATACGGGGAACAATTCCAGGAGTTGTCGGCCTGTATTCGTGGAATGGACTGGGCTACAACCTTGGGAATTTTCTGAATGGGCTGAATCAGGATTTGCAAGATGATGTCCGGATATGGCAACCCAGGAGTGTACATGAGGTTATTCAATTAGTGTCATGCCCCCCAAACGGGGTGGGTGACGTGGAGCTCGATTAGGGATTAATAAAGCAGATTCCCAGACCGGGCCCCACACTTAACTGCATTAAAATATAAATGAATTACATAATCCAGGAGCCTCTGGCACACAGGGCTCCACCCCACAGGACATACAGTATCGTACATACATGCACATGTAAATAATCAATTACAATAGACATCATCCACAGTCTAGTAAATTCAAATGTCATTTATTACAAATTCTTACATATTCCTTACACTTTATGTCAGAGGATGAACACAATCCTCACTTGATCGTTCCGTAGCACCACTCAGCTACTCCCGCTACTGTGCCCCGCTCCTAGAGTCTCCTGGGAGGGGTTTTAAACATTTGAAACATAAAACGTGAGCGAAAGGCCCGGTAGGATATAATTTGAAATATTTAGAATAAATGAGCGCATGAATAAATAATTGAATACATAAATAAAATAAGACATTCAGTCCCGACAGAACAGCCGGAACCTCACATCCTTTTTCTCAAAGGAAATATAACTGAAAATAACCATATTACAGGCTTCAGCAAGTAATTAGTACAAATTACTTACCTAACCAAGTGCCTCGCCTACCCGGACCGGTTTCGAGTTCTGCCCCCGAGGATGCACTCTCCGCATCCTATCTAGGCCTACAGCAATAGACTCTATTACCAGTTCACAAGATCTCTTTGCTTAAGAAATCATTCATTAACATTCTAAAATCATTTTTATGCCCCCACGAACTACTCAAGCCGCGGGCCCCATGACTGGACA